TAATAAGACAAGTGGTTTATAGTTTTGGTAAATTCAGAACAACCCTCAAGTTCTGCTCTACCTCTTTGGGAAACAGCCAAAATTTTGCATTCCATGGGTATCTCTGGATGAGGACAAAATACAAAATAGCTTTGTATGCAAAGCAATCATAAGACATAATGCCAGTTATACCCATGGAAATTAGTATCTTATGATAGACATAGTGAAGAGAGACTTATTGTCAAAATTTAGCTCTAGAGCTACTTGCCTGTCCATGTGTCTGTTTAGACCATTTTTGTTTACTTGATATTGGAGAATAGTCAGAAAAAAAGTTATACTGAATTATGATTACTGTCGAATTTTGTATGAAAAGTATTAAAACTTTAAACAAAACAGTCTTCTAAATTCCTGTCCTTCTGGTCCCACAGTCTTATCTTGCTTTTACACTTTTGTTTAAACTGTTCCTTCCCTTTCTTTTTTTTTTTTTATTTGGAGTTGATTCAATAACCCGGTCTTTTTTTTATCTCTTGCAGATGTTAAAATGATGAAACCCTCTCTCCCCCTGGAGCAGTGCACAGCAGCCATGACATCTCCTCTGGTCCTGCGTGGAAGGTACATTGCAGCCTGCTGCTGAATTGTTATGACATGTCTCTAGCAATCAGAAAGAAAAGCTGGGAAGAACATGTGACCCAGTGGATGGGATTGGCCTTGGAGTCTGTGGAGTATAATACAGCATGTCGTCACGGACTTGTAGCTGATAACTTGCAGACAAGTATGGAAAAAGATGAGGTTTTGAGCGTGGACCGGAAAGAAAAATGCGCTTCGTTTCCAGAGTGCTGTTATAGTGGCGAGCTGATTGGCTTCCCTGCAAAGCAGTTGGGAAATGTTTCAAAGGAGGTGGATGAAAACGATAACCATGAGGATGAGGAGCATTTTCTGGAGGCCAGCACAGAAACTCTAGTCCATATGTCTGATGACGATGATGACTATTCAGCACTCAACCTGGATAGCGTTAATTACCATATCACTGCTATAGGGAGGGAACCAAACGATGAAAAGAAGCATTTAAATGGAGCAGGCTCCTTAACACAGATGTTACCAATAACAGAGAGCAACAAGGCAATTGGAGCAGCTGGAATAATTGGAGATGTAAGTAAGGAACCTGGTTGTGACATGGTTCCTAAAGAGGAGATGGAAGAAGATGTTTGTGGCAGTATTGGCCAAAGCCTGGAGCTTTGTAATTGTGAAGGCTTAGATGAAGTAGTAGATGTAGACAGAGAAAATCTTTCTAATTCTCCTAATGTGAAAGATATTATTATGCCTGGGAAGCAGCTGCTTCATACTGCTGTAATTGCACAACAGCGCCGGAAATCTGATGCTTTGAAAGACGGGCTTGGAAAGTCTGAGCGTAATGTGGTAGAGAGTGGGATTTCTTCTGAATCATGCACCAGCAGTGATAGACAACTCTGTTCAGCAATGGAATCTGGTGACTGCCTTATGCAGTCTGCTCCTTGCTCTCTCATCCCGGCAGTGGAAAATGGTCTGGATGAAAGTGGTTTCACAGAACCTCAAGTGGTCCCTGAAAACAAATGCCTTTCAAACGCCAGTTCGGCAGAAGACGTTCAGTGTTTACATGTAAGGGATCATTTGACCACACAAGAATATTCAGACAGTCAAGTGAAACTGCGCAAAAGAAAGGTAGGATGCTCTTAAACTGCAGAGATTTTTTCTAATGTTTTCCTCAAATTTCTTATGAAGGTGATTCCATGACTAATTAATTGGAGATAAAATGTATTTTTCAGCCTTGCTTCAATAACTTGTCAAAATTCTCTTTTAACTGCTTTGAGAATAATGTGTCTATATAACAACTGAATTTCATGAGCTCTTTTTAAGGTCTGTAAATGGCTCAGCTGTGAATTTGGAAGGTGCCTTATATTCACTTTATTTTTTATGTATGTAAAATTTTATATATTTTAAATATGTTGTTCAAGGCTAAATGAAGAAGTGTCTTCTATGGGTCTGGTTTTATTTTTGGTTTTCTGGCTATCAGGTATCATTAGCCCTCTTAGGAAACAGGTTGTATCTAGATGTTTGGAAGCCTTATAGAAAAAACAGAGAACAGGTAAAAATGCAACATAACTTTCAGAGGAAAAAAAGGAGTGGAAACATTTTGCAGTAATTCTTTGGTTTTTCAGCTCAGCCCCATGAGGATATGTTCTTGCAAAAAGAAGTATTGCTGAATTTGAAACAATGTTTTGCAACTTTAAAGCAACCAGAGAGTTTCACTGTCCCCACAGAGTAAGGAAGAGTGTCATTACAAAACTTTAATGACAGATTCCCTGGTGATAAAACTCCCATTTTCTTCCCTGGGAGGACATGTGCTGCCTGCAGCACTACGAATTCACCTTAAGGTCTGGCTTTCCCACCTGTGCTGTTTATTCTTGCTAATAACTGATATGTAGTTGTTTACTCCTCTCTCTGCCTTTATTCATTTGACATCATCCAGCTTCATTTCTCTATTTTTTACAATTTGGTTTCTATTAATTGCGTGGAGTTTTTTTCTATCAGCTGTAGAGCCTTGGTAGCTGTTTCACTAAAGCACATAATCATATATACAGTACTGTAGGCCAACACAGCATCCTGAGCTGCTGGCCATTGCTTCCTTGTGTAAACCCTTTGTTGATATTAATGCTCAGCTGATAAGGTTGGAAGCCATACGTAACTTTTGCAGAAGGCTTCAGAAGCCCTCCAAGCCAGCCCTTGTTTGGTAGTTCATGCAATCACAGTTAACGTGGTGACTGTTCAACTGATCTTGCAGCAAGTACGGCTCTGAGTTACAATTAAGAAACAGAAACATGACTAACAGTACAAGAAATGTTCAATTTACCCATCTGTAGAAAACAGTTCAAGTTTAAAACAAAATAATTAACAAAATATATTTGAGAACTAATTGACTATTATTATAACCTTATGCTCAGCTGCTCTATTTAGTATCTTATTTTCTTTTGTGTTAAGCATAGTCATCAATACTGATGCATGCATTTCATATTGTTAGCAAGACTAATTTTTATGGTGTAATTTCAAAATCCTATGATTATTAACTGAAAATACAGATAATACTTGTTTTTATTATGTACAGATACAGTCACTGTGCTGTGACTCTACCCACATTAGCTTTGTTTACCATGCTATATTTTTAATAGCTTCGAAGTTGCTAGTTTTCATGTATCTCTCTGTATCTTCTTTTGAGGTCATGTACTCATCTTTTAAATGTATGCTCATGAGAACTATATTTCAGAATATATTTATGACTTTTGTTTGCACCATGAAATATTTAAAAAGGCAGAATATAGAAACTCCAGTGAGACTAACAGTAAGAAAGGACGTGATCATAGAAAGGAGCAAAACAAGGAGCTGCTTCCAGGAAGGTTGAGAGTTACATGGCTGCAGCCACTGGGAAGCTGCGCACACTGTGACAGGGGATGGGGTCTGTAGATCTGAACGAGTGACCTCGTACCACATGGGTTAAAGAAGTCTTTACCAACTGTAAAATGCTTGGCAAAAGGGAAAAGATACGATCTGCTGTTGCTTCTAGTATTATTTATCTCGAAGTTTGCAGGACACTTCTACAGACAGTGTTCCCGCGTGCAGGATTTTCTCACTTATCTCTAATCATACACTATTTTACAAAACCCTGTCTGTGCTGGTCATAATCTGTAATGAAAAATGTGCCTGTGTTTACAAACTTTCCCTGAAAACCACTCTTGTATTTTTAACAAAACAGTAGAAAAACTACAGACTTGAAACTGAATCCATCCATAAAAGTCAAATATTTGCTTTGCAGTGACAGGAAGACTTAAGGGATTGGAATGGTATATAAAACCTTTTCTCTCCAGGTCAGCAGTTCAAACAGCGCAGTTCAGGCTTAAAACACACAACAGTCTGATGAATGTTCAGTGCCATTTATAGTTGCACGTAAATATGTGCTCGCAGAGGTCAGAATATGGGAAAAGGCACGTGGAGATGAATTGCTGAAGCTATTTGGGCACCCAGACCTGGAGGTGGCACCTTGGGGGATGATAGAAAGGTGCTGAGCTTCAGGTACTTCCATGAGAGTTCAGATTTTAGGACCTTTGAGGAAACATCATTCTGCTCTTGCCAGTACTAAATTCTTCTGAAAACCTGTTCCTCATTAACAGACTTTAAACTGCTTTTAATTGTGGCAACAGAGCATGACCTCCCCTCTTATCCTTTATCTGCTGTGTTCAAACTGAAGCCAAGGTGAGACAGTGTGGATCTGTCGCGTTGCTCTGCAGATGAATGCTGGTTTGAGGGGCTTAAAGGGCCTAAAGGTTACGATCTTTGACCAGCACTAGCTCCATTTCTGTGAATTGTTTTAGTCATGATGGATGTACTGACGCTGAAGACATTTTTTGCAAACAGGTCCAGCTATCGCAGCGTTCTTTGCTCGCTCAAGTCCCCAGGGTTCAGATGGTTTTCCTTTTGCTTCCTAGGTCTCAGAAATAGGAAGTGCTTGAATTTAATTGTGAGAACTTATTGATGTTAGCTCTAACTGAAAGATCCCACAGTAACCAAGCTTTCCCGGTTTTGAGTTGACTGATAATCAATTCAGTTTATCCACAACATGAAGTTGATGATTATTAATAATTCAGAGTAGCAGAAGCATAAATGGATTAACTATATGTGGCTGTACAAACTAGACCTTCCTGCATGTTTTCTTGGGTTAAATAATTTTTAAGTTTTTAAATAGTCAGTTCACTTGAGAATTGTACATTCTGGATTTCCAAAGATTGGAATAATCTTTAGAACTAGTGAGCAAGCTGTAACGCTTGGGACACCCCAACAGCTCACATGTATGTTCACATGTATAATGCAATAGGGAGAACATTTAGAGAACAAAATCATACAAAACCAGGAGTATCAATTACTCGGAGAACACCAACAAAAGGAGAATCTTTAATTATTATATGCTGATTTTAAAACGGGGAAAAATGGCTATTACCTTGTAAAGGATCTTGGAAATTTTTGCAAGTGCGCTGTTTTATGCTTTCTGAACAATTTTTGAACAATATTTGAACAATTTCTGAACAATATTTTCTGATGAGCTGCTCATCTCATCAAGTTTAGGGATATCCAGAAAAGTCCCTGCTGGAGGAGATTAGGTGCACAAATGCACCAGAGCTCTAACATTCATTCAAATTCTTTTTCAACACAAAAAAGCTACTTTATTCAACATTGGTGTAAAAAGGTGAGCTGAAACATATAGGAGGAGGACATGGAATATTGAAAAGAATTTTCTATGCAAGAAGATAGAATTACTATTAATAGGCTTTTTAATAAAGCTCAGGAAGTTGTAGTTAATATTTAAAAATAAAATTCAATCCACAAACTAGCTTAGTAAGATAGTACCAGAAGATTGAGGGAGGAGATAAAAAATCTGTGAAAAGATAAACAGATTTTTCACTAAAACTGCACAGACATCTAAGAAGTATATTATGATTTGATCCAGAAGAAAAGCTGGAAACATTCCTTATGTGTATTTGGGCTGCTTTGTTACAATGTAGTTTATTGTCTAGATGTCAGAAGAAAAAAAAATTGAATTACCATACACAAATGAACAATTACATGTCAAATTGTTAGTTATCTGTTCAGTTGTTTTCTTAGTGTGAATAAGCTATATACATTTCCATGCCTTTACACCTGCAGTTAAACACACTTTACTGGAAATCTGTCATTCGTAGCAATAACGAAATACATTTTGATCTCCTGTGTTTTATATTCTGGATTGTAATGATATAAGAAAACAGAAATTCACTGCTCTGAAAGCAGCCCTTTTCTCAGGCATCTCAAAGCAATGTTCCTTTGCAATGCTTAACATTATTGTTGTTATTTTCATTAACCTGTGGAAGAAACAGGTTCTAGAACTGCTCAGTCATTGGAGGGAGGCTGTTGTCACAACAATTTTTTGAGAAGTCCATAGAAAGAGTTTTAGAGTAAATCTTCCGAAAACAAACTCTGTTGCACTTAGAAATAAATTTCAAAGTAGTTCAGACAAACTTTCGATCAGCATTTGAAGTTCTGGTTGCTTATCTAAATTAAATATTAATTCTGAAACTTTGGGGGTTCTCTTCTAATGTGAAACTTCTCATTTGCTGCGCAGATTTTTGCTTTTAAGTATTGATGAATTCTGTAAGATTAGAGTTGATAAAGTACTGGCGAATTTACTGCACACAGTGAAATGAAATAAAAAATCAATGAGTAATGAATGACTTCAGGAAGTGTAATTGATGTTTGTGCCTGGTGATTTGAAGATTGTAATGGCAGCTGTATTGCTTCCAAGAAAAGGTGCAGCCTAGAATTACTGCTTCAGGAAGGGTATCAACCTAATTGGAGTAGATGCGATGAATTTGTATCAGTTTCTCTTCAGGTAATCTCAGACTGCATTTCAGTCTCATTAAAACATTTTGCGTATGTATAGCTGAAAAAGGAATGAAGTAAATAAATGTTTCGGTGTACAAATTCCTCATCTCCCTTTTACAAGACTTTTTCTTTTAATATTTACTACTTGCAGTTCTTCATGATGGTCTGCTTACAAGCTTTCCAGTTTCAGATAGTTGATGATATCTCAAAGTCATTCCTACAAGAATAAAGAGTATAATAGTCAGGGCTGTTTCCTA